GCATCTTTGCACTGGAAGTCTGAATAACTGCCACCTTTTCCTTCTTCAATACCAAACTGCTTTCATCTCTTTATTCTTAAGTCTATGTAGATCTTGGCAAAATACCTTTCCTTCATGTCTTATGTTTTGTATTCTTGTATATACAACACGCAAGTCTTGCATTTAAAAGAATCATCCAATGGTTGAGTTGAGTTTTCTCCAACCTTCTTTTATTAACAGGTAAACTATTTAAGGGTAATACAGTTACATTAATTAGAACTACCATCATAGGAATGTTACTAATCCCTGTTAAAATAAACATTTTAAATCAGGTGGGAATCCAAAAGAACCCAACTGTACTACTGAAATCTGTCAAAAAGCATTTATCAAGAACCCAATGATTACTTCACACCTACTAGGTTGGTCATAACTAAAAACAAAACAAAACAAAACCCCCCAAAACAGAAAACAACAATTACTGGTGAGGATATAAAATAATTAGAACCTCATAATATTGCTGGTGTGAATGTAAAATGGTGCAGCCACTATGGAAAGGTTTGGAGGTTCCTAAAAATCTAAAAATACAATTACCATATGACTCGGCAATTCCGCTCCTAAGTATGTATCTAAAGGAATTAAAAAGGAACTGTCCCTATTCAAATAAATACTTGTACACCAATGTTCAGTGAAGCATTAATCACAATAGCCAAGAGGTGGCAACGACGCAAGTGTCCATCAACAGATGAATGGATGAACCAAATGTGGTATATCCATACAGTGGCATTTTACTGAGCCAAAAAAAGATATTCTGATTCATGCTACAGTATGGGTGAATCTTCAAAATATTATGCTAGGTGAAAGAAGCTAGACACAAAAGGACAAATATTTCAATATCTAGAATAGGCCAATTATTAATAGAGACAGAAAATAGATTAGAGGTTATTAGGGGCTGGAGGGAAAAAGAGGATGTACTGCTTAAAGGTTACATAGTCTCTGGGGTGATGGAAAAATTGGGGGAACTGTGGTGATGGTTGCACAACATGGTGAATGCAATTAATGCTGCTGAATGGTACACTTTAAAAAATCATTAAAGTGAAAATTTTGTTATATATATTTTATCACAATTAAAATAACATCAAAACCACTGAATTGTACATTTTAAATAAGCAAATCACATGCAGAGTTTTATCTAATACAGCTTATTTTAAAAAGAACCCAGTGGACTTGAGGGTGCAAGGATAAATAGAGAACACTTAGATCAAGGAGTCTAGCTTAAAAGTCAAGCCTAAGCAATGTTTATTTGTGAAAGCAATTTGTATTACAGAATTTAATAACATCAGACATCTCTGCTCTAACATAATAATTTATAACAGAGACTATGATAAAACCTACCCCAATAACAGCCATTTAAAATTAGGGGAGGAGGAATATCAAACAAAATGGCATGTATGCTCGAAAGTCCACACATGACCTTTTAAAGTACTTTAGATGAGTGATTTCCAAACACTAGTTTTAAGACAATGCCTATTAAGGAAATGTACAGAAGCAAGGAGCATGACGAGTCTGTCGATCTGAAGTATTAATTACAAATCACTCATTAAAACACAATTTCAGGTAGGCAACAATGGCAATATTGGGGTTTTCGCAGTTGGTAGGAACAGCCAGAGATGGCTTATTCCCATTTCTGCTCAGGGTCTTTATCCTTAGATCTGCCCTGCTTCTTGTATTCTTAAAATTTCCACAAATCGAATTTTTACTAAGCCGGTGAACTTTCAGTATCAATGTATTTGATTTACATTCCCAAATTATAAAGGCTCCCCTTTCTATTAGCATGGAAAATGGAAAACTGCCAGTACAGAAATTACAAATGTGTGTGGAGGGTGAAGGATAGGTCAGATATTTTGCTGTCAGTTTAAAGAAAAAATGGGGTTTCTAATCAAGTGGACTAATGGGAACATAGATAACCTGAAAGGATGTCTGGGTTTGGGTTATTTTTAGCTAAATTTGAGAGTTTTTGCTATAAAAACAAAATACACTATATATATTTAGAAGATATGAGTAACCCCCGATAAAAGTTCAATGATACTACTTAATTCAATCTAAGCTTTTCCATAAAGTTATCAAACTGACTGAAGCATAATCCAAAAATGGAAGAAAATGAATGGATTTAAAAAACAGTCATTTCGGGAAAAGACTAATTATTAATACTAATAATTCAAACAGATAGAAACCAAGACAGAGAAATAGGAAGAAACGTTCCAGACATGGAGAAGTGGTTCATAACACCATGAAACTTTTATACTGAGAGTCATACTGAATTGAGGTTTAAGTTTCTCAATAGCAGAATCAAACAAAATATTACAACATGGAACTTTCCCCAAAAGAATGTGAGAAAAGGCTTTTAAGAGAAGCCTGAACAAATGACACGGGGAGAAAATTTTGTAATAGTTATGAGCATCATATGTTTTTAATTCACAAATGAGAAAAGATGGCCCTAAAAAAGAACATAATATGTTGGGTCATACAGAAAATGTGTCAGCTTCGTGATTAAGTATTACCCTGAAAGGGCCCATTTTTTTTTGCAGAGAGAAGGAACCTTGCTCAATGGTTACATACCAAACTTTATCATTGCTGTTTGTCCTGGACATTGTGAATTAAATAGTCTGTCATTGCCACCAGGAATAAGATGCAAGAGGCTTACTTCTATTTGTAGCTCTAAACCTACACTTCCTGAACTGAGCCATCTGTCCTCTCTAGGCCTCAGTTCCCTGAACTATAACAATAGGATGGTTTCTAAGGTGCAAAGACCTCTAATACTTCATATTTAAAAGTTAAACACATTGAGAAAGAGATCAACCAGGAGCTCAATAAAAGCCCTAAACTCACAAGTCAGCCTCTGAGCAGAAGAAAGCTCAGGTTCAGTACTCCACAGGTAAACATTAAGAGTTACCTTTAGCTCCACAGAACAGAATTCGCTTGGAGAACTCTGCTTGGAGTTCTATTTTGCTTGGAGTTCTTCCCCAGTTATTATTACATGAGCAATAAAGAGAATTAATGATTAAGGGAGAGAATGCTGCTAAAGGAAGGCATGCTGCCAGTGGAAAAAAAGGAAGAGCTAAGCACAGGCAGACCTTGGGTCAAAAAAGCACAATCATCTGGGGGCATTTGGCATAGGGATGAGCTTATACACCTATATTGCTATGTTATAGCATGGCTCAATACTTGATATTTATAATGATATAACCCTCAGGCACCAGGAATAATTGAGATTATATTGCTATGATCTGCTTGTCATGCAAGGAAACACAGCTTATGACTATTACCATTTAATAACCTAGCCAATAAGGGAATGTTGCCTTCAGATGAGAGAGGCCACTATAAAAGCCTACTGTTCTTCAGACAGAGGGTCATGACATCTTTATCCACACAGCAAAGATAAAACAAAGCAATGAAGAGTATTCTGTGAACTAGCTTCAACTGCTGTTACTTCCTTTAGAAGAACAATGAAAAGAACCTGGTGAAAATTTCATCTAACATGACTTTGAAGGACCCAGAACATTTCTGCATTTAGAAAGATGCCAATCTTCATGAAAAACACTGCCTAAATAGAAATCATGGTTTTATTTTTGAGTTTCAATTTTTTTTTTTTGAGAAAATTCTGGTTGTGTCTTTGTAATGCAAAAATCACAAAATAATTTTTACATTAAAACATTCGATTATACATTTTGCTTAAGTGTGTACCACTGGTGCTCAATAAATAACTGGTTTGTATTTTGTTCTGTGGAAGAGAAACAGACTGAGGTTATTCTGACCAGGAGGTCATTTATCAAATCCAGAAAAATTGAGCTCTTTGGAGTTCCTAGATTCCTAAGACTTTCCTGTATGTTTTCATGAAAAACCAACAACAATCAAACCATTTCTTCTGAGAGTGTACGCACTTTTTTTCAAAGCCCCCAAAACTCTCAAGATTGTGTCACAATAACACCATTATGTTGAGTAAACAGATCCCTTGGAGGCCCTTTCCCTGGACACCAAGTTATCAGGCCATCAAATGACTCCTATAGCCCCACCTCAGCATGGTCCCTCTTAGCATCTAGGCATTCAGAGGAGCAACTGGCAGGGGTACCTATAGATTCTAAAGCAACACAAAGGCCAGTGACAAGTTCACAGAAGCTTACACAATGACACTCAGATTGCAACCAGTCAATTGGCCAGCTGCCTTTCCATAAGCACCCTAAACGCTTTTGGCAGCATTACTCAGTCCTCATTCACAGCTGCTTAGGCCAAACACCTGGAGCAGGATGGAGCCAGATTCTTCACTGAGACTCCTCACCTGAGGATCAGCTCTCAGCATCTAGAACTAAATTAAATCGGCTTCCTTCCACCCTCTCTTAGCTTGATTCTCTTGTTTTGTTTCTCAACACATCAAAGGGGAAAAATATTTACTGAAGTAAAGCTGGTTAAAGTCTCACAACATATGGCAGACAAGATGCCTACAAACCAAATACAGCTATTTCTATTCAATTATAGTTTACTATCACTTATTATATCACAGTACAGAATGTCTTTTATATCATAGTACAGAATGTCTTTGGGAAAACCATATATGCATGTTTTTATCAATCAGAATAAAGACTATGACCTGTTTAAAAAACAAAAAGCCACATACATAAAATGAAAACTTTATGAAATAAGGAAAATCAAGATTTTGATCTACTCTTGGCTTAGCCTTAGCCATCAAGAGTATAATGATGGCCAAACTAAGCTCTGTACCACCATTGAGATATGACTGGGCTGTGAGACCCACATCATCAGGTATTTTGAGCATTATAGTGAAAGCTAGAGAAGAGCAAAATGTTATTTAATAGCTTGTACATCTGACCACAATTCTAGGAAAAATCTCTTTAGAGGGCTAATTAAATTGATGTTAGATTGAGAAGTCATATTCCTTCCATTTGAGGTTCTGTCACTTCTCCTCACCTCATAAGGAAGCCCCCAATGATTACATCATTAGTACTCACATTCAAAGCATTCTTTGCAGCTTCTGCTTCTGAGCGACTGTCAAAACTGACAAAACCTACGGGCTGAAGAAAGAAAAACAAATATGAAGGGAAAAATAATCAGGGGATAGCTATTTTTCTGGATCAAAGGTGATATCGAACTGAAGAGCTAAGATAAAGAAATGATCATGGGCAATGGTGTAGAAATAAGAAAACCAGTCTTGAAGAATCTTGACTCAGTGGTTTAGACAAATTTCTAACACAAATAAAAGGAATTGTGAGGGTGGTTCTTCCAGGACATAGCTGGAGATTCAGAGAATCATAAAAATAATCTAGAAGGAGTTGAAAAGTGAGCAGCAGTGAACAAGGGGATAGAGAAAAACTTGGGTCAAGAGGCTCTACTTTCCTAAATCAAATTCACTGTATCTCAGTTTCTTCATCTTTTAAAATGGGAAGAGAACCAAATCACCTTTTGGTACACCGTAAGTGCAAGGACTATAATGACACAATGATAAAAGCCCTATACTCTTGTTGCATGATCACAATTATAAAATGAACACAGTCGTCGCAAATCCCAAGGGGTACCTTTAAAAGTCCTGTGTTTAATAATATCACTTATATGTGGGATATAAACCTAAAAGCAACAAATGAACAGGACAAACAGAGACTCATGGACTAGAGACTAGTGGGAGTGGGGGAGGAGGGGGTAGGTAGCGGTTAAAGGTGGTCAAATAGAGGTGGGTAGGGGGAGGGTGAAGTGAGTAAAGGGGATCAAATATATGGCAGCTGAAGGAAACTGGACTTTGGGTGGTAAACACACAATAGAATATACAGATGTCAAATGATAATGTACACCTGAAAATTATATAATTGTATTAACCGATGTTATCCCAATAAACTTAATTAAAAATAAAATAAAATAAAAAAGGCTTGTGTTTAATTAGGTATGTAAGCCATACTGTTCTAACTAAAGAGAGAGGGGTCATAATCCTTTTAGATTCAATATTTTTCAGTCCAGAAGGATGCTTGTAACATAGCTTATGCCCAATAAAACAGGGAATTCTTTGAGTAATGGAAAGTGAGTAGGAGGTGAGGATGCCAACTGGTCAGCATTAGAAAAAAGAATATAGCTGAAAATTTTCAAGAATCTTGCTGGAACTGTTAGGGCCACTGATTACCACATCCATTTAGGGTTTGAAAAACAATATAATTCTTTACCACAAGATACACCAATTGTGAAAGATTGCCTGTTTAACTTTATTTAAAAAAAATAGAATTGGGAATAAAAATGAATCTGGATAATAATTAATTTTGAATATATAGATAACTACGCTGGATGCATCATGTTTGCCTTCTTTGGGGGTAGTTCCAGTAATCCTAGCTGGAGACTATGGAATTACAAATCATTTTTCTGTGCTAATTCCTAACCAGTCTCACCCTTAATTTATTTTTTCTTTTATTTAATTTATTTTTAACTTTTTAAAAATTAAGTTTATTGGGGTAACATTGGTTAATACAATTATATAATTTTCAGGTGTACATTATAATTTGACACTGTATATTCTATTGTGTTTATCACGCAAAATAAAATCCTAATGGAAATAATGTTGAACCACAGTAACATTCTTGAAGAAAGTCAATTCGCACTTATTGTAGAAGTGATCATTTACATGCAAGTTTAAAATTCTTACCTGCTTAGATGTGAGCTTTATAAGAGAACCCTCGTAGCCCTGAAAACAAAGAACCAAATTTAGACCTAAACAAAGTACTAAGAAAAAAAGTAATTATAGCATCTTGCTCAAGTAAAAATGATTTCTTTATGGCTATTGACTACCTCTTTTCACAAATGCCTTTCAAGTTAACCACAAAAGCAAATTATGCACACACACACACATACCTATGCCTATGTTTGCATTCTTGGGGCCTAAAAGTAATCAAGCCCTGAAATTCATGCATTTTTATGTTTTTTTTTTCTTATTTTTTTAATGGTAGGAAAATGAGTGTGTCTCTAACAGCAGATCTCTTTATTTTATAGAACTAGGAGAGAGAAGGGGGGTAAATTTAATAAGATAGGAAGGCCAGAGTATGTTAAACTTGATTATGTAATTGCTATAAGACAACAACGAAACATTAAGAATGCACTAGATAGAAGTTATTAATCAAAATTTCAAAACTGTCAGAAAAGGTTAAGCAAGTAATGATGCTAAATCTTGTTGAGTTCTTTTGCTTATATATTGAATCAGCCACTTTTCATGCTGGTATTCTGATTGAGACAAGCAAAAATTCCCTTTTGGGTTTTCACTCCAGCTCATCCTAAAGGAAGATAGAAACCCTCTCTTTTACTTCCTTCCTTCATCCCTCCCTGGCTCCTCAGAATAAGGATAACAAAGTGTTTATTTCTGAAAATAATCAATGGCTGATGGCTTGCACTGATGGATTACACAAGCAGGGAAAAACACCACTTGACATGATTGACCACCACACATATCAGTACAGAGACAGATTTGCAGACTATGGTCAACCTCCTCGGACTTTAATTAAAAGAGGGTTGTTAGGAATGTAGCAGGGTCCTGACTTTAACACAGCATTTCTGGGCAGGATGTTGGGATTGATTCATTCCCCTATCTTCCCAGCAGAGAACTATGCAACCAATTAGCTACTGTAAACATTTTACCTCAACAGCCTTGAGCTCTTCTGGCCAAAGAGGTCATGATTCACAGCCCCGCCTCTTTCTTTTTCAAGGTGCTTTCTCTAAAATACCTGGAGGTTTAAACACCCTGAAGGGTTCAGTGGCAAAGGACAAATGGATATTTCACTCAAGTAAAACACCACTGGTAGGGATATATTGTGCTCTCAAGTCATAAGAAGAAAAGTAGTATCACACAGCACTTCGGAACAGGGATGGCAGAGCCAGATTGCTTGGGTTCGAATCCTGACTCTGCCATTTATTCTATGTGTAAACCTTGAGCAAAATTTATTCAACTGCTCCAAAATCTTCCTCATTTAAAAAAATAAGGCCAACTCACTTTAAAGGATTGTGATGAGAACTGAATAATTCATGTAAGGGGCTTGATGGCCGAATATCTATACACACACACAAACATACACACACAATATTTTGTACATTAATTAAGAAGATCGATTAGTTTAAAAAGTCCTCATCCTACAAAAGAAATAGTAAAAACTGCAACTTTGTAGAAAAAACTCAGGAAATAAACTTTATAAAGTTGGCACTCTCTCCCCACAACACCATCTCTTTCTTTCCTACTTCCTCTCAGCTAACCTCATGCCTAACCTTTCTGTTTCCCTCTGTACTGTCATCATTCTTATTGCACTAAGGGGATGGCTGTCAGAATGGAATTATATCCATTATTACATGGTGCCTTCTTGGCACATAAGCTAGACTGTTTTATCTTTGCTGATTTTAACTGGCTGCCCCCTCAATCCTCCCTTTCTTTCTTTCCAACCTAGCTGTTTTCAGCTGTCACATCCTATTCCCTCTCCTGTTTCTCAACCTGTCTTGCCTCTGTGGCTGGGGTCCTGCTTCAATGGGGATGAATCTTTAACTAGAAATCAAAATGGTCCATCGCCTAATCATAAGTGTGGCCTGGCCAGGTATTACTGCTGACATGTCTTTGATGACTAGTTCAGACACAGTTCCTAAATTTATCATACTTAGGTTTACTCCTTGAGGGCCAAGGCCTCCAGCCCACAATTTTCCCAGTCTCAGTCTTCTCCTATCCTCCACAGGCTAACCTTTGATTCTTCTCCATGCTTATTTCAGCTTTAGTTCAACTTCCTGTTAAGTCTTCAATCCCAGCAACATTAAGTATCCCTAAAGTAGGTTTATCTCGATAGTCACACTCCATTAAATATTTCACTAAGCACCAGGAAAGAGTCCACTCAATTCATGCCACTATTTTACTTTATTTGAAATGTAGGACTTGTTTTCCCATGGAAAAAAAAATAATGGTGTTAGGTTCCTAGTCTAATTCATAAAAGACTATTTAATGTACCATGTCTCCAAAGAATAGTGTTAACAGAACTATTTCAACTAAGAAAGAATCTCCTAGGGAAAGGACTTGACTTTATTATCACATTTGAAATATAAATACATAATCAGTAATTCATAATATTTTTTGGTGACCTGTACTAAGAAGAATACCTCCAATTGGCAGAGGAGGCTGCTCTATGTAGAACAGAAACCGATACATGTTCACATGAATAAGAGAAGTCTCTAGATTAGCTGATGGGCAGACAAATGGCAGCTTCAGTCTTTTCTAAGTAAGACTGTACATTACAACTGAGTTGTTAAGTCTCCATTACTAATCATTTAAAAATGTCCCTTTATAGGGTACTTTCTCAAACATTTCATTTCTTCCTCCAAAGAGCTCCCATGAAGCTCACACATACACTTTTTGTTTCCTTTGGCAATTTCTGAAAGAACAGGTACCTTAAATGGTCTGAATAGCAAATAGAGCTCCCGAGGTTTGATATCCAGAGGGAGACCACTGACGAATAGGGTCCGGACCTGGAAAATAAATATGAGAAGTGATATTTAGGAGTAGAATCCAGAGAACAGCTCTCACTTAAAATTTCAAAAACGCATTTCTTCAAATATTCCACAAACCCTACCTAATTCATGTTCTTTCAATGACATGATGAATACTCTAATGTTAAGATGCCATTAGGCCAATTCTTCTATGTGGATTATTCAAAGTGAACAACCTCTAGCTGATTTAAATTCACAAAATGACTTCTTTTCCAACTAGCCACGCCCTGGTTCTAAAAAATGTGAGACAAGAGAATCTAGATAGTCGAATTCTTAGCTTAAGAAAAACATGTCATGAGGATGAGGACAGTAAATCTACCATTCCTTTGCTCTAATCAAATGAACAGTGTGTGGTTCAAAAATGAAATTAAAAAAAATTTTGTTTACTTCTGCTTGTCTTTTCATTGATTCCCTCATCAGCATTACAGTAATTTTAATAAATGTGAAAGTTTACTGAACAATTCAAACACATCTAAATAGGAGCTAAAATGCTTAACTCTGTACCTTCTCAATTCCAAAACAAAAGGGCAGACCTCACTGACTTATACCTATAAGGCCCAGGGTACAAACTATGTGAACAGTGTCTACTAAAACACAGAACACAGATGACACACTTCCAGATGAGAGGATCAGAGAAAACACGTTAGCATCTGAATGGGAACTTAAAGGATAGGTAGGATTTTACCACATAGATATAAAAGATGAGGTAGGATGATGGGGAAAAGTCACAGGCAGAAAAAAACATGAATGATGGCAATGAAAAGGGGATAGCACAGTGTATTTGGGGAGATGGGTGACCCAAAATGAACAGGTAGCTGAGGATCAAACCACAGGGGACATCAAAAGTCACTGGCTCAAGAATTTGGTCTTGAATTAACAGGCAAAGAGTAACCACTGACTTACCAATACCACCACATTGTTTTGTACTTAGTTTAATGTATTTTGTGTGGCTTTAGTCAGTACCCTGCCCTAGCTCTAACATATAACTGACATATAACATTGTGTAAGATGTACCTGTTGATTTGATATTATATATTGCAAAATGATTACCATCAGAGCATTAACTAATACCTTCATCACATCACGTAATTACTATTTCTTTTTTTGTAGTGAGAACATTTAATATCTACTTTCAGCGACTTTTAAGTATATAATACAGTACTGTTAACTATAATCACAATGCTATTTATTAGATTCCCAAAACTTATTTAACTTCTAACTGGAAGTCTGTACCCATTACCCGACATCTCATTTCCCTCACTCCCCAGCCCCTAGTAACCACCATTCTACTGTTTCTACGACTTCGGCTTCACTCCTGCATTTTCTATTCCTCTTCTCTACTCAGACTGATAAATGACTGAGCTCCTCATTAGAAATCATGTTGCTGAAGAAAAATTCAATGGGCAATTGTTAATGTGTAAATATGAAAGATGTTTCCTCAGTGAGAAATAGGGAGAACATGTTCTAGAATCCTAACACTTTGCATTGTCTCTGGTTGTAAAGAAGCACAAAACGAGATTCTTTTATTGATCTAGCTCAATACACAGTGAAATATCATGCCGCTTGCATATAGATTATTTAAGAAACACTATGAGTTAAATAGCCCCAGTATTGTATCTTATTTTATTATTTGCTTATTCATTCATATTTTAGACAGCTTTATTGAAGTATAATTGATATATAATAAACTGTATATCTTGTTTATAATTTGATATATTTTGACATATGCATAACATGTGAAACTGACACAACCATCAAGATACTGAACATATTCATCACCTCCAAAAGTTTTCATGCCCCTTTAATCTTCCTCCCACCCTGTCCTACTATCCTCATGCTCTGGCAATCACTGATATGCCTTCTGTCACTACAGATTATACAAAACTTTAGAACATACATGCTAAATGGAAGCATAAAGTATGCATTCTTTTTGTCTGGCCTCTTTTCCTTTAGTCTGATTATTCTGAGATTCATTCACATTGTTGCATTTATCAATAGTCTTATATTTTATTACTGAGAAGGATTCTGTTGTATGGATATGTTATAGTTCATTTATCCATTCACTAGAAATAACCTCAATGTCCCATCAACATTGAAGTGATGTTGGCTTTTACATATAAAATAGCTATAAAAAGTCTTTGCATGACATATATTTTCTTTCTTCTTAGAGAAATACCTAGGAGTGGAATAGCTGGATGATGTGGTAGGTATACACTTTACTTTTTAGAAAACTGCCTTCAATTCCTTGTTTTATGGCCCAGAACTTAATGAGGGTTCTCTGTGTATTAAAAACATGTGTATTCTGTTGTTGTTGGGTGGAGTGTTTTATAAATGTCAATTAGGTCAAATTTGTTGTTCAATATATCTTTTGCTTCTTCCCTTCTCCCTCAGCTTTGCCAGTGATAAAGACTCTTTCCTAAGAACTTTCTTTATCAAAGCTGTTAAGGCTGAATTATTGACAATTGTCAAAGGGAATCCTGCTATCTGGTGTTCCTATAGTCCAGAAAGTGAACACTCATCTGTTCTATTTGGCTGCTCTGGCTAAGACACCCTGGGCAGAAAGAGAATCCCAACTTCCTTTTATGCAGATTTTGTTGGGTGCCCATTATATGTCTTACACTATGCCAGGTACTGACTAAATTACAGAGATTTGCATGGAAATAATATGATAAGCAGATCTATGTTTTAAACACTGGAGTACCATTTGTCCAGCAGGCAAACCTAACTATGTGATAGATATCAATTAGGATTTTGGGAGTTACCTTAGGAAATAAACTACCATTTATAGTACTACAACAATCAAGATACTGAACACATCCATCACCTCCAAAAGTTTTCATGCCACTTTATTCTTACTCCCACACTGTCCTACCATCCTCATGCCTAAAGAAAAAGGCTTTACAAACTTGCAAGTCAAATAATTTAGCAACGCCCCCACTAGAACTCTGGGGGTTATCAACAAGAAACTTGGCATAAATTAAGATTCATCTACATCCATAAAATGTAGTATTATGCAACCAATAAAAATGATGTTCAAAGAAAAAGTACATATAGTTCAGTTATATTCTATAAAACAGCTAACATACATGTATTTGAAGAGGGAAAAAATACCTTGTAGGATATACACCAAAACATTTATATTTATATGGTTTTAGCCCTGAGTGGTAGAATAAGAAGTGATTTTAATGTTTTTTATTAGCTTATGTGTATGTTCTATCTTTCTATAATAAGTATGTATTAGATTCTATTAAGTTTATTTTGTTAGCTTGGGAATTGTCTCATTTTTTATTTCTTTGCTTTCTTGAGGAAACTATAAATAATGCCAATATTTATAATCAAAACTATCAGTTTTATGAAAAAAACTGTCTAATGTATATGTTTGAGAATTAAAAGAGATTCTTATCTCTGTCTCAACAGGAAACTGTTATACGTGGGAAAAAAAAAAACACACACACAAAAAACTGTTAGGCCTACATTTGCCACTTGCCCATAGATGACAAGAGGCTCAAAGCATCTTTTTTGTTCATTAAATTAGAGGCAATTAAGATGTCTGACATTTTGTTTACACGTGGACACAACTTTCAATTCCTAGAACCTAGTGAAGCCCAATATTGTCACAGAAATCTGCCAGGATGTGTCAGTTCTCACTGAAGAGATATTCTCTTCTCTGACAGAACATATATACTAAGAAAAATAATTCTTAAATACTTACACTATAAAATTATGAGTACAACTAAAGGTCACTTAAATCCAAGCACTTGGAATCCATGTGCTTTGAATCCTTTCTAGACTTCCTCAGACTTGTCAAACTTTATATTAACCAAGGTTTTTTTTTTTTAAATCATGCATAATTAATGGGGAGGGGAGGGGGGAAAACTCTTCCTAGATACATAATTCTAAACTTCATTAGGTTAAAAAAAGATCATGCATAAAAAGGAGAAAAAAACTCTTCTTGGCTATGTAATTCATACTTTTCTATGAATCCCAGGTGACTGGGACCCAGAATTGAGGATATTTGAAAACATTTCAGTTTCCCTACTCTTCTCACCACATTTTTTATCTGAGCCATTAAACAACGAAGCGCTTCTGGGTTTTGTCTTTGCTGTTTATAGAAATCACAGAGGTAGGCCATGACTCTTGACTGCAGGGAGCATACCTTCAGTGAAGGAAACGATGCACACAAGACTTTCTGTGATAACAAAAAGCTTCGCTCATTTATAAAGTAACCAATTAGAACCCAAATACTGAGATACAAGAGTTTAAGAAATGTAAATCCATGATCAAATACTCAGGAAAAAAGTTCCCCCAAACACAGCAAATAAAAGACACCAAATGAACTTTGTGGCAGGTCAATCATTATCCAGAGCAGCCCTTAATTTACCAACAGTGTCTAAGGACACAGATGTGCCTGGCACTATGCCTTTAGCATCACAGATGTTTACTTTATCGGACGCATGGGGAAACACATTTCTTAGTCAAGGACACAACATGCTTCATAGAAGTTCAAGACATAAAGCTGCTGACGGCTCTATCCCAAAGGGACTCTAATGGACTCTGTGGATATATCTCTAACTTCATTTTTACCCCAACAGGACAAAAAGAATAAATGCTATGAAAAATTGTCCTATGCCAAACAGGATGAGCAAGAGCCTTTTTGGCTCAGCGATTATGTACCGTTCCGGCAGAGGCCAGTTACATTTTGGATAAAACCAACCATGTGTTCTCAAATGGCATTGCCCGCTACCACTGGGAAAGATACATCACATTTCAGTGACTGATTTCTAATTTAATAAACTCTAATTCGGTAAACTCACTGTGTCAGTCTTGAACTTTTCTGGATAGAAAGGCCAAAACAGGCCTTGAAATGGAAAGACTCCCACCTTTAATGAAGAACACAGGCATTATCTTGTAAGTAATCAAGACATTAAAATAAAAACCAATAGACAAATGCTTGTTAATTTCAGTACATAGCAGAGAATAATCATGTACACTTTCAAGTAGGTGACCACATCTGATAAGCACCATTGTGTCCAAAGACCATGGGCATTTTCTGTGTATGTTTTAATTGTTTATGAAAAAGTCTTAGGGATCATTCTCTAGCTGCTCTGAGATGACTTCTTGAGGTTCCTCTTAAATTCCTAGGAAGGGGAAAGGCAATTTCTCATTTTCTAATGACTCATGAATAACTGTACATGTAGTCACTCATTTGAAACAGTCTAATGAGTAAAACCCTTGGGGGTGCGTCTATGATCATCTATCCTCTGTAAGCTTTTTCTCCATCTACTCACATTTTTAAAGGTACAAATGTAGACTCCAAAAGAAGCTTTCAAATGTGCTGTATGTTTAAATCATTCTTTTGGTGTAATCGTTCTTTAAAACACACATGTGGATTCACAGAAAGAACTTTCAAGAGGTGTTTTAGAAAGCGTTTTTGTTTGTTTGTTTGTTTTGCAGTGGGTAGCACAGTCCTAGGCACAGGTATATGCTCTATAAATATCACTTGAATTGTTTTTAGAAATCTCCAGAATAACATTGTATATTCATGGGAGATAGTGTTTGCTTGTAGAGACCTCTGGTGACTGCTACATGGCAAACAAAAGGAGTCTACCACATTTCCCAGTCACAATCATATAAATAAAGTTACCACAACATCAAATGATACTCAAATATGACAAAAAGGTAAAAGATTAACATTATAAATGACAGAAATTTAGAAGAGGAAAAAGAGAAATGAGACGAAACAACCAGAATCAAGGGAGAAAAATGAAAAAAAAAAAAAAAAACCCAACAACACAGAATGAAATTGTAACAAATCACAAAAAAATTCAAGACTATACACCCATTAACAGTGTGCTCGATACATGAATGTCAGTAAAATCGTTCACATTTCAAGTGATGAAGATTGAAACATACTTATGTAAATATGTCCAATTTTAACAAATGTATGTAAATGAATAATTCAGAAAGTTTTTTGAAAAGATGCCCAAACTCACTAGTGTGCACAGAATGGTGAGTGGATATCTATATTTACTGATACAGAACAAAGTTCTTGATTATTAAGTAAAAAAGCAAACACCAGAAAAATTGTCATTTAATTCTTTCAGTGTTTTCATAAGGTAGTACACGCTCAAGTAAAAAAAAAAAAGTATTGAAAGAATGTATTAAATATTTCTTATATGTTAATAGTGGGGAGGAGAGGTGGGATTTACAGAACTTACATTTTATATATTTATGTACTTTAGCATTTAAATATTTATATACATAAACTATTTATTTAAAAAAAGAGACACAAGTCCAAATATATCTCCTTTCTTTGAAAATATAAACCTTGGGTCCTGCCTCTCTACTTCTGTCCTTAGAAATTTTCATTTTCCTGCCTATCCTTGCTGCAGAGGGAACTGATGTAGTAGAAATACACATTCATGTATTTGCTTCACATTTTGAGTCCAACCACAAATCAGTATTTCTTTGTACTTACTCTAAAAATAGAATCTAGCCAAAAAAGGGGCACCAATACCCCTAGGTTAAGGCCCTAGGAGCAGGACCATCCTGGTTGCAGTCAAAAGGGTGTTCTTGCTTTGCGATCACCCTACTTTCCACTAAGACAAGAACACAGGGAGCACTTGCTCTATAACAGCTAAGAGAGTGCCATCTCTCTTCTGAGACCATGTAATATACAATATAAACTTGGTTTCAGGAACAGAGAAGTTAAAAAGAGCTCCACATACCTATGCAGCATAAATCCCACAGAGCTGGGTTGTTTTAACACAAAAGGCAGGAAAAGGAAGGTGGTGTGGGTTTCCAGAGCCATGTTTTAAGTTTTATACTCTGGTTAAATTATTTTACTCTTCTAAAATAAAGTATAAATGGATTTAGTTCTTTCCTTATTAAGCCCCAACTGAAACACTATATTGCAAAACTGAGCCTTACAGAAGACTACTGGTTACCCTGCTTCCAAAGACCACTTTATTGCCTGTTACAGTTTTTCATTCATGTGTTGCCACCATGGAAATGGATTACCACAATCATTACAATGGACTGCCAGGTGTTTAATTCTGGTTGCAGCTCAGAAGACTCTGACAGGCCTTTGGGTCAAGCTCTAATTTCTTGTTGGCATTGGCTTCAAGGTGGAACAGTGGTCACGTTTCTTTTTCCTGACAATGGCCACCTACTGGACTTAAAAACTCATTCCTTTTCTAGTCCTGAGGAGGTATGTTTTGGTTCAAGAGTTCTAGGTTGCTACAGATGCCGAGGACTGACTAACCATAAGATAAAAAGGATCACTACGCTGACTCGTTGTAAATGAGTCACGTTGTAGTTTTAAACTGATACTTGCTTTCCTTCCTAAAGAAAAAAGCCACATAATTATCCACAATGCACACTTCCCTAGTTTTAAGGTACCCACTAGTGTTGGCTTTGAGTGATATTCAGTTGGTTAACCCTATCTGCAGAATAACTAAATTTACACCTTTATTTAGGGCTCACGGAAGCCAGGTTTCTTTACCAAAGTGATCAGAAAGTTTCCAGTAGTATCAGGAAAAGGAAGACTCATGGAAGCACATGTGGAAAGAGGAGCATGGCATTCCATAAACACATATATGCAGGGCTCATGTCATGCACAACTATTGGGACAGCAAGTTAGCACTAGGTACACCATGCAAGTAAGTTCATTCTTTGAGGAGCCTATTCTAGCCCAACCCAATGTTGACATAATCAGGTCTCAATCTCTCACTTGGATGGGACTTCTTGAGATTAAAATTCAATCTAGGCCATCCCTTGCATCTGTTATACATTTGTGTAAAAGGATAAGAAACAAATCGAGAATTTCTATGGTTTGAAAACTGCCCAAATATAGGTAGGAGATGTATCTGTACATGTAAGCACTTAACCTCATTAAGAAATTTCCTTAGTGCTGTCAGACACAAAGAGAGATGGGTACCAGAAGCAAATCAAAAATTTAGGGTTTGAATTAGCCTAGATAAAAACTAGATATGTAAGTGTGTGCATGTGAGAACTTAATCTCATTATTAGTAAATTCACTGAGTGCTGTCAAACACAATATATGGCTGTCAGGTCGTTAGAGTTCAACAAGAATTCCCATATAGAAACAATTCTTTACCCCTTAATTCTGGTCCTATTTTTACTCTACCTTGGCTTCCCTTAGTTTCCTTTAACTTTCTCATGGCTTATTCTGTTCCCTGGTTAGCCTGTGGAGTCCTACTTTTCATTCAATCACACTGCTTACATTGCTAACACACAACGATTTAAAAATGTATACATTAATCCAGTGTATTGTAAACAGAACTTTGCATTCTAATGCCCTAAAGTGCACCTGCCCCTAGGATTTTAATTCTATAGAGTATCCCAAAGTTGAAAGTCAAAAAAAATCACCTGGGCTACCCACAATACAGACTTTTTCCATGGCCTAACAAAATGAAATACAAGCAGAATATATGAAAAAAATCTTCTCAAAATTCCGGGACCTCTCCTCTCTTTACTTCTGCATAGTTTGGGTGACTGCTATTTAACAAAGTGGATCTGTTCAAACAAGCCATTCCACCTCTCCCAAACTAGATAGCACACAGAAGTCTTCAAAGTCACTTGAAGTATCTGAAAAAAACATGTAGACAGTGGCAGATATGGACTCACCACCACCCAGGGCTCTAAAGCATTTATTGCTTTGGTAGCAGTAGTGGACCTTGATTTTTACTGAGGACCACCTTCAACCTCAATTTGCAATGCATTCCTAATAACCATCCACAAAGCACCACAGTTTTAACAACTAAAGAAGGTGTGAGAATTGCAAAACGAGAAATATGTGGAGAAAAGGTTTGCTTTCCAATATTTAATTGTGGGAAACAACCCAATATACACTTTAAAATTTTTAGTGCCAGGTCAGCTCACCTTCAACATCAAAGTTCTTCTTCATGTGAAAGTGGTAAGCATTCCAGTACTTAGCAGTAGGCAATAAATGAGTATCTTTAGAATGAACTACATGAGGGAATGTAAAAACTAAGTCACAATACTAGGAACCAAGCATGAAAGAGGGAGCCACATAATCCACAAAAATTCAGATATGGGTGAGTATGAAGAATAAAGTCATTGACATTTTAATATGCATTTCGGAAGTTAAGTACTGAAGGCAGTAAAGCATATGTAGTTAAAAAAAAATAAAATTCATGTGGAGCCAGGCTGCTGGGATTGAAATTCCAGTTCTCCAACTCGCAATAGCTATGCACCTTGGATAAGCCATTTAATCTCTCCATTCAGAAGTTTCCTCATCTGGAAAATGGAGACAATAAAGGTATCCATTTGAGGCAGTTTTAAAATATGTCCATGAATTCTTTGTTACTCCCCTCTTCATGATGTGGAACTTAATGTCCTTCCCCCTTGGTGTGGGCTTCACTTAATGACTCACTTCAAATGGACAGCATATGGCAGAAATGAGTGTGTGTGACTTCTAACACTAAGTTGAAAAAGGAACTATGGGTTCCTCTCTTGGATTGTTCACTTTGGGGGAAGATAGATACCACGTCTTAATGATAATCAAGAAGCTCCTTGGGGAACTCCACATAATAAAGGACTAAGGTCTTAGGCCAAAAAGCCATGTGAGTGAGTCATCTTAGAAGCAGATCTTTCAGTCCCAGCCAAGTCTTCAGATGACTGTAGCTGCTGATGGAAATGTAAAAAGGTATAAACCCTCTAGAAAACAGTTTGGCAGTTTCTTATTGAACAAAAAATACAATTGCTATACAAAAACTGGTATACAAATGTTCATATATGCTTTATTCACAATAGCCAAGAATTGGAAATAAGCCAAATGTCCTTCAATGAGTGAATGGTTAAACTGTGGCACACTCACACCATGAAATACCCCTTA